AGACACTCTTTGGGCAGCAGCCAGTGTTTCCTGGCAGCCTTAACTTTGTTAGTTAACACTTGGGGTGTCTTAATACTTTTACAACGTTTAACATTTTTAAAATTAAGTTGTAAATGTTAAATACAAATTAGTAAATAAAACTAGGGACTTAAAGGGCAGCCACACCCAGGATTATGGAGAAGAGACCCTGTATACTTTTTCAGTAATAAAGGAACAGCTAAAAGAGCTGCAGAAGAAAAGTAATTATTAATAATAGTAATTATATATATGTATAATATAGAATTACATTGATATGCCTAATATGTTATAGCAAGTAAAAAGTAGAGGTTAAATTATGAAAGGAATGTACATTTCTATTACACGTGCAATTTACACAGTAAAAGGGGTAAAAGAAATGTAAACAAGACATGGTACTTAATTAAAATCCAATAAGCAGGGCTGGTGCAACCATTTAGGCGACGTAGGCGGTTGCCTAGGGCGCTAGGATTTGGGGGGCACCATTTTCTTCGGCCGCCCCGGTCGCCGCCAGCATTTAGGCGGAGGGAGCTGGGGCAGGGGAGCGCGGGGAGGGCCGCCTGCAGCTAGTAAGGGCGGGGGGGCGGCACGCAGGGGAACTCCCCGCCCCAGCTCACCCCTGCCCCGCCTCCTCCCTGAGCACGCCGTCGTTGCTTCACTTCTCCCGCCTCCCAGGTTGCGGCACCTAAGCTGATTGGCGCCGCAAGCCTGGGAGGCGGGAGAAGTAAAGCAGCCACGGCGTGCTTGGGGTGGAGGCGGAGCAGGGGTGAGCCGTGCCCACTAAAAATTGGTGGAATCTGGTTTAGAACTGTTGAAAAAAAACTTTTTGGACAATAAGGTATAATTTAAAATGTGTAAAACTGCCAAGGTGGGGATGGGGCAACTGCACTGAAAAAAATTAATAGGACTGGCCTGGGAACTGGACTGTTTGAAATTGGTATGTTAGTCAGAAACCAAGCTGACAGATATGCTGTGGGAACATGACCAAGCATTTCAACAGAAGATAGCAACTAAAGTACTGCATCCCCTGAATAAGCAAAATTAAGGACTCATTAATGAAACTTTGTTGACTGTATACAATATGTTGTAATTACTTTTTTAAAAGTCTGGTAGTAAGTCTATGTGTTTTCATAATAATATCATGGGTAGTATGTGGGGGTTACATGCAGGGCCGGATTTCTAATTAGGCACAGTAGGCATGTGCCTAGGGGTGCTGGTGTTCTAGGGGCGCCTAAAAGTTAGTAGAGCAGAACCTCAGAGTTACGGTAACTCTGGAATGTTCCATAACTCTGAAGAAGAGGTTACGGACTTCAGCGACATGGGGAGGGGGGCCCGCTGGGGTTGCAACCGCAGGGTGTGTGGGGGGTGAGGGCAGGGGGAGAGGGGAGAGAGTCGAGGCTTCTAACTCTTGGGAACTAGGGCTCTGGATGGGGGCACAAAGCTTTTGCCCTGTGGGAGCACTGGGGCTCAGTGCTTTAGAGCTGGGGGGAGCACTGGGGTCGGGGCTTCAGCCCTGCAAGCCCGATCCCAGCTTCAGCTCCGCAGGGGGCACCGGGTCTTGGGGCTCCCCATGGCTCCGCTCCCAGTTTCAGTGGGGTGGAGGGGTGCTCAGGGCTTTAGTTACTGGGGGAGCACAGGGGCTGAAACCGGCGCTCCCCGTGTAGCTAAAGCCCCGAGCCCTGGCGCCCCACGTAGGGTTAAAACCAGGAGCAGAGCCATGGGGCTGAAACCCCAAACCCCAGTGCTCCCCCCAGTCTAAAGCGCCGAGCCCTGGTACTCCTGAGGGTCGGAAGCCTGGAACCCCAACCCATCCCCCCCCGCAGCTGCAGTCCCAACCCACTGTGGCTTAAGCCCTGAGCCTTGGGGCTACTGCCTTGAGGCAGTACCGTTTTTGCTTTTTTTTTTTTTTTTTGTCTGCGCTGCTGCCATAACTCCATAACTCTGATGTTTGTATCTTTGAGGTTCTACTGTATTTAAATTATCATTTATATTTCTTTTCCTTTAATTTTTTACAGAAAGCACAAATGTCAGCTGTAGGCAGGGGGTGCGCTGAAGATGCTGTGCCTAGGGGCACATACGGTGTAAATCTGGCTCTAGTTACATACTATACAACGTAAAAGCAGCCTTAAGTGATAGGGAGCAAGAAAACTTATCCTCTTTTATCACCACAGAAAAGTCAAAAATTGGATACAAGAGAGGTGACACCAGTTGGTGCAATAGAAGAAAATTAACAAGGGTCCAATACAATGAAGTTAAATGTGAGACCACTACAACCCAAACGGTGTGGAAGAAATTTGTTTTCCCTCCCCAAATATTGTTGCAAGACAGTGCAAGGTCATGTACTGCTGTTTGCATCTGGCAGACACTTATATGTGCAGGTGTACTGTCTTACAGATAGAGGCACTGGCATGTAGGTTCACTTTGGGGAACAAATTGCACAATACAGTTGAGATGCTGGAAAGTTAGTAAAGTAAAAACTGATAAGTATTGCATGGTGGCTGAAAAGGACCACTTCTGGTATCTACCTAGGAAATGTTATTTTAATTGGCCTATGTGTTGTTTTACACCTACATTTCCTGTGGTGATAAATGGGAAAAAAATTCTATTTTGTACCAGTTTTTTTACAATTCAATTTAAAAAAAAGCAAAGTTAAAATTACAGAAGGCTGCTTCACAGGCATAGCAATCTTACAATGTGGAATTATATCCTGGTGGACTATACCATAGGTTGTGATCTTACACCTCCTGGTTCAGTACTTTGAGCCTAGTATTTATGGGGATTCAAATAATTACAACTATTGGGAATGTGTTGCAAGGTAATAAACTTAGGAAGAAGGCACAGAAAGACAGGAAGATGATACAAATTAAATGAATAATTATGGAGAAAAGAAAAGAAATAAAAAGAAGAAAAGCAATGGAATATAAGATGGCTTGACATACGTAATTGAATATAGGGGAAGCCTCATTTTTTGGAAGACAGGATTAGGGAGGTAACTGGATCAGCAGGCTGAAAATGAAATGTTTGTGCTAAAATAAGCAAATGGATCAGTAAGCTAAAAGACAGAATGTCTGAGCTCGTTAATATAAGTGGGGGAACACCTAGGGAACCATTTACTAAGAACAAGATACCAATGGACAAGAGAAATTGGGAGCGTAAAGATGAGGCAAAAAGTAAAGTCAAGTCAAACATGGATACCATGTGGACAGAGCATGCTGTACAGAGATTGGTTCCTCCAAAGTAACCAAGCCAATCTCAAATGTGTTGCAATGTATAGTGAATGTAATGTGAAGTGTAAATCTACATTAAGGAAGGAGGTTTGAATGTGTGCTATCCCTTGTACCCACTCCCATTCTTCATCCTGATCTACTCAAGTATAGTTTGATTGTGTGCCAGTAAAGAAACCTCAGTAATGAATTTGGAGTAGAGTGGAGTTCTTGGGAACCAAGTTGATGAGGTCTCAGAAACCACCCCAACATACACCTGTGTTCTCATATTTTTGGTGCCTGGGTGAAACAGAAAGTGGCTATAATATGCAGAAATATAGTAAAGCTGCAATAATAGATGGCTTCACTTCCACTATTTCATTTGGAAGTGTGCTTGTTTATGCTCAGATCACAAGCATTGGACAAGGCCAGATGAGTGGTATTTGTGTGTTGCGGAGTATGCCTGGGAGGCAGTTTGAATTAGTTTTTCCATTTGGTATTATTATTAAATTATATTTAATACAGCAGTGATACTCAGATCTCAGTGGTTCAGGAGCCAAATTAGCAATCAACATTACCAAGAAGAGCCACAGTAGTATGAATGACAGGGGAAATATTTAGTTTTATATATCTAGAATATTCTCACAGCAAATAAGTTAATAATTTAGTGCAAGTTGATAACTTAATTGGTTGTTAACATAGTAAGAACCTCCTGATGGGCTAATAATTAAATCACACTGCGTTTTAATATCGTGTGCTGAAAAGAGCCGCAGGAGACGCATTAAACAGCCACTTGCGGCTCGTGAACCTCAGTCAAAGTGTCACTGTGTAAGGCATAAATGTAAGGCCCCATTGTACAAATGCATAGTAAGAGACAGTCCCTGTCCTAATGAAGTTACAATCTAAAATAATCCTGATAAACCTGATTTATCTGCTATCCTTACAACTCAATCTGTGCATAGAAGCCTGGGGATGAAAGTTTGGGAGAAAGAATTATAAAAATACTTTAAAAAAAAAAAAAGTTCTCACTGCTTCTCTTGGGTGTATTGGTCAGGGCATTCAGCATAGAGCTGCAATAAATTAAAGTTATTTGTTTACATGGCACTTATCAAGCAGTTGAACTGTTCATGTTTTGTAGTATTAGAAGAGTGAGGTGAAAAATCAGCAATAAATGTTACCCTATTTTTTTTTTTGTTACCATAGGAACTAGGTTAATTTATTCTGAAGCTGTGGACAAAAGGCTATGACTACCCGAATTTATTAATTCACTGTGGGCATGAGAATAAATACAAAATGTGAATTAATTTACAATGGGCTAAAAATTACTCTCAGGGTGAATCTGACTATAGATCTAGTATCTCCAAGCCTTTACTTTGAATTATCAAACTACTCTTTAGCTTCAGAAGATTGAGTGTCCCGGCTGGATCCTATTCTCATTGAAGTCAATGGGATTTTGCTGCTGACTTCAGTGGGAGCAGAATGAGGCCCTACATACTGAAGAGTTTGAAGAAGCATTCAACTAAACAGCATATGCAGTCTCTTGGGGACTTCTGGGCTGAGAATATATTTGCAGGAACGGTTTCACATTAATCTATGCCAAATCATCCATCTTTGCCATCTCACTTAAAATGGAATGACTTTCTATTCCAAAACTGATATGGTTACTTTTAAGATCAAATAGTTAGATATAATCTCACCAGGAACAGTATGTGAAATCACTAAAAAGAACACACCTCTCCCCGCCCCCCCCACACTAAAGAGAATATAATTTCAACAAATGTATTTTAGCTTATTAAACTATACTTTATTTCAACACTTTTCATACCTTTAAAAACTAAATTAAAGGCACAGTTTAATTCATGCACTATTCCAAACTGCAATTATTTTGCAATAGCAGAAACCTTGTGTATATTCTATAAACCCTAATAAGATATTAGAAATGGCAAAGACATTTACAGATGCTTAATTATTATTGGTACCAACAATAAATCAGTAATATCTGATATTGTTTCTGGACTGCATCTCACATATACAAATAAAGGATTACCACTTTTGCACTTTCTTTTCACTAACGAACTGCCCATGAGGCCCATCAGCATCAGGGGCTAAAAGGGCTAAATAAACTGGAGTCTCGGCTCCCTCATCTGGACTTTTAGTGGCATTGGGACCTGCCATGTCGGTTCTCACCCATCCAGGGCAACAGGCATTTAGAAGAATTCGATCAGCTTTCCTTTCCTTGTTCAACATCCGGGCCTGGATTCTGGACAAGACCGTGACTCCAATTTTGGACACACCGTAAGCGGTATTTGGCCAGCCCTCCTTCTCATGCACTCCGTTCTTGGTATCCTCCACAAACTTTGTCATGAGTTTCACTAGCTCCTCCTCAGTGATTGTGTCACTACGAAACTTCTGCTGCAGATCCTGGCTACATCTTGCCAGAGCTGATACACTTACCGTGCTAGATACATTCACTACTCTGCCTATTAAAAGAAAATTATAAATAAATATATAAAATAAACATGCCCATACACAATATTAGGTCTTGATCCTGAAAAGTGCTCCACGAAGGTCTATGTATGGTGATTGCTTTTCAGAACAACAGTTTAAAAACCAAACCAAACCACACTGTTGGATGTAATAGAATTGCTAGCAAATATTTGACATGTCCCACCGCTACAATTTTAAATAGGGATATTTCTGAATAAACAAACAAATCCTGATCCTGCAAACACTCACTACCAAACACCATGCTTCCATGAATAATCCCATTAAAAAAAAAACCCAACAACAGAAATGGGCCTATGTACAAGAGTAAACCCTCCCCTCAGCAATGTTTGCAAAATTGGGTCATGGGACTTTTGATAGGAACTTTGTTCTCCCTTCTACTTTAAATTGGTATGAATGAAGAGGTCTCTCAAAATTCCTAGGGAAAGAATCCTACCTACAGGTTATGAGGGCCTTGAATGCAACAGAAGCAATATGGTTCCACTGCACTGGGGGGAAACAGGCTGTATGGAGCCCATGAAGGGGATCTGCAAGCCAAACACACAACAGAGTGCAATGTGTGTCCCAGCATCGGGGTGGGGGAAGATGACGACTGATTCTGCAACTGCACATCTCGGTCAGCCAATCCTCCCATATATTGAATGTGTGTGGGATTCCTTCCTTCTGTAGGGTTCCTCAGTGGACAGAGTCATTATCTGGGATGTGTGCTGAAAAGAGGAGTTGTCTCTTAAAAACCCAAATACACCCTCCAGAAATAAAAACTGTATCTAAATAAGTACAGATATCCTTTCAAGAACATTTATCTTTATAGTATGGGAATGTTTGTTGGTTTTGAACAAAGCCATGGAACCTTTTCTACTGGTTTTTGGTGTTGTATAAACAAGTTTTTACAAAACCTAGATTTTGGGGAAAGTTTGACCTATGTCCCTTTCAAACATCTCCACCTGTGACGCCACAGGGTTCTAAGACATTCCCAGAGGTTCAGCTGGGAAAACAGAACTGCTGCGCGCACAGTGAAGCACAGATCATCTGTCTGTTGATAATAAAACTGTTATATTTGTGAGTTTAGTAGGTCTCATCCTGGCCTCTCCCATTCGGTTTACCATTATTATGTGGACCTACACAACTCTTTCATCCTGTAGCATTTATCGCCACATGGGATGATTTTCACTACCTTTCAAAATAATATGGTATTTCTAATGGCATACCCGATGCTGGCAAATGTGTCAGCTCCCAAAACAAGGGCTGCAGTGTACATAGAGTGAAACTTCTCTGCAGGGAGACAGCAACAAGACTAGGGAGCTAGGTTTCTTCAGTGACTGTGGGTGCAAGCCTGTACAGCACACTGAACTCAGCCTCAGTGCTCCATTTTTGTGAGCAAGCAGAACATTGAAATATCCCCATTTCCTCCTGTCTGAAGCAAGGACAGATGAGGCAATTGACAATCCTTCATTTCTGCATCATGGCACAGATAAGCACTTCTGGAATAAACCATTAGTAAAGAAAGGGATTGGAATAGAAGCAACTTTAGATTAAAAAGCAAAGACATTCTGTGTGTCAAGACATGCATGCAAGCTATTCTTGTCTTCTTACTTTTGATGGAGCAGAAATGCACTGGTACTCCTGTGGGCAGCGAATTCCTAACAGAGGGTAGGGTTTGCCCCCTTGTGAGAAGCAAGAGTTATTCTCAATGATACTTTGGTATTTGTTAGGTTATACTTACCATGAGGCTTTATGAGGGGTAGCAACTCCGTGCAGACGTCCCTTGTTGCAAAAAAGTTTGCCCTCATTGTAACCTCTGCTTGAATAGCAAATGGAGTGGTATCAGCAACTGTTCATAGGGAGAAGAAAAATATATAACATTGAAGTTATGCTCACAGGTTAATGGGAAAATACAGGTCTCTGAAAACTAGAGTTAATCCTAATTCCTTCTACAGTAGTCATTTCTGTATAAATTAGGAAGCAGATGTTTAACAGAGAAAGTGCAGAAAAGTAACAGGTACACAATGCTGCAAAGATTAACATTTTAAAATGCAAAGGGCCAAAGATGCAATATTAGATTAGTGGAAGATTGAGAAGATTTTCACCTGCTAAGAACTCTTAGTTTAGGGTTCTGTGCTCCCCCCACAAGAGCTGATGACACAACTGATGCCTCAAAACAGGGCAGGGAGCTGCATTCTTTATACAGATTTAGAGCTCAATCATGCGCATTAGGCAATGGCTGGGTTGTTGCTGCTGGTGTGTCGAGTTTCAGCACGCGTGTGTTAGCCAGGATGATGAGTGCTGCACAGAGATAGGATTCCCATGCAGGCAACATCAAGCTTTTGAAGAACTGCAGCAAATGGGGGCAATTAAGCCTGTTTCTTTGTGGCAGGGAAGGAAGAAACAGGGAGCACTGTCATTCTGTAGTAGGTACTCAGAATAAAAATTTTATTAAGATGATGTTAAAAAGAGTGAACAGAGTTTGAGCATAGAAGTTTCTGGTTATCAGGGAATAACGTACAGATTATCGAGGGTGCAAAGTTTGGTTTAAGATCAGGTGGCATAAGGGATACATAATCTGCAATATCCCCGATTGGGGGTAAAAGGTTGATGGGTCAAAGTATAGGCATTGAGATAAGAGGGTATGAAGTTCATAGAGTGGCTATATTCAGGTGTGGAGTATAATGAGTGGATATGATGATGAGGATGGATTGATTCTACAAGCATGAGGGCTCTCCAAGTAGTGTAAATAGATACCAATTGTTGTAGTCCCCTTGCTAGATACAACATACCTGCAGCTAACTCCAAGGAGTAGCTGTAACTGAACACCTATTGCTTAAACTGGTGGAGATATTCCTTAAAGGCGTTGCTAATAACCACCTTACCTGTTCTCTTGAGCAATGTGCCAGGACACCACTATTTACAGAATACTGACCAGTATATTAACACTGAGACATGAGGCCCAATTCACCACTGATTTCAATGGTTTCAGCATCAAACAGGGGTAAAGCAGTGATGAGTCAAGATAATAGCTCCCAAATAAGAAATGTAAGCTGTAACTAGGACATAAGAGTTTTTGTTCTTTATCAACATTTACTACATTTTAAAATCTCTTTTTAAGTAGGTTTTCCCAGAGCTCAGGGCAGATGGCTGCAGTTTGTGAGTTGTCGCAAAAAAATATGTATCATCCACCCTGTGTGACAAATAACCTTTGCTAGAATCCCCCAGCACTATTAAAAGAGTTCTGTGCACAGTCATTACCTGGCAAGCACTTCCCACTATGCATATACCTTACAAAGAGAAGTTTCTGTTGAGATAGTGATTTATGCATGAATACGTTCAACAACAGATCAGTTTAATGCCAAATCCAATATTTGAAGGGCAACATCATTCAGGTCACAGGGGAATTATTTAAAATGGTACAAGAGGCAATCAGAGTAACAAGATTAAATTAAGGAAAGGACAATTTAGGCTAAACATCAAGAGAAGCCTCCTGACAAATAGAGTCCTATAATATTTTCTAAGACTCGCAAAGTAAGTAGAGGAAACTACGTTGGCAGGAATAGCTTCTAAATAGTCTGTTTATTTATACAGTGCTCATCACCATGGTAAATAGCTCCCTAAAGGTGTGTTCCCTGCAGAGTTAAATTGAGTTATCTACACTCCCTTGCCTCTGGGGGAGGGATAGCTCAGTGGCTTGAGCATTGGCCTGCTAAACCCAGGGTTGTGAAATCAATCCTTGAGGAGGCCACTTAGGGATCTGGGGCAAAAATCAGTACTTGGTCCTGCTAGTGAAGGCTGGGGGCTGGACTCGATGACCTTTTGGGGTCCCTTCCAGTTCTATGAGATAGGTATATCTCCATATTTCTCATGCCTAGATAGAATGAGAGCAGCCACTCTGCAAAGCAACCCTGGAGCTGCACAGCGTGACTGGCTTTTAGTAACAGAGTAGCAGCCTCCCCACTGCATTACTTCAGCAGCACTTGAGCATGCTCCCAGATGGGCCAGCTAGCTCAAGTTTAAAGCACCACTTCTCTTGAGCTAGAGATGTGTGTGAGAGATCAGGAGTTGGGTTATATAATTTGAGTTATATCTTGAGCTAACACAGCAGTGAAGACAAGATCAAAAATGAGATCTGACAAAGCACCAGAAAAATGTCAGGTTGGGAACAGCTCTCTGCTGGCACAGGGATGAGCTAGGTATCATCATACTTGGTTGCCTCTCTAGCTAGCAGGATTCTTGTAAAAGCAGACACCACCTACTCATCATTCTTCATGTACTTTACAGCTCACAAAGCCTTGCCAGTGAGCCAGCATTGTACCTTTGAAAGCAATCCCTGCGTTGTTAACCAGCACATTCAGCCCTCCATATTTCTCCTTCAGGAAGTCCCGCAGAGTCCGGATACTCTGCAGATCTTCGATGTCCAGCTGGTGGAAAAGTGGGTTCAGTCCCTCCTCCTGCAGCTTTGTCACCGCAGCCTGACCCCGTCCTGGGTCCCGGGCTGTCAGGTACACATCCCCAGTGAACTGCTTACACAGAGCCCGCACAATAGCAAATCCAATCCCTTTGTTGCCCCCGGTCACCACAGCTACTGGGGTGCTGGACATCCTCCTGGGCTAGTGGATAGCAAAATAAGTTCACTGCAACAGGCAAAAGAATATAGGTGTATATATTTGGTTATTGTGACTATGCACGCCTACCTGCTCGCTCTCTATGCAATTTTCTGCAAATGTACATTTCTCTCCTGTTGCCAAACCAAGAAATAATTGGGCAAAATAAGGTTGGTCTCCAGTTTTTCAACGAACAATCTCCACTTATCCTGTAGCTTGCTTCTTCAAAGTGCTTTGCAAATGAATGCGAGCCAAAGAGCGGTCTAGAGCAATCAGGGACAGGGCTGGCCTCGGGGGTGAGCTACCCTGCAATCGCCTAGGGGGCGCTGTGTGGCAGTGCAGAGGTATGCACTGCCAGTGTAGAGTCAGAAGCTGCTAACAGCTGGCAGGGGAGTGCTCTGTGGGGGGCACCCAGATTTCTCCCAGTCACTGCTTCCTCCTGCCAGAGGAACATGGTGGGTAAGTAATGCACAGATACTGCTTCCCCCCCTGTCATTGTGACTGGTTGGATCACAGAAACCCCCTTGGGAGCTGCCACCCGATGTGCCAAGACTACCCCTGCTTCTGTTTTCCCTGCCAGCTCAGGACTCCAGCACCCTGTCTTGCTGAGCCAGACACTCCCGTCTGCTCCAACACCGACCCAGGGTCTGAATCACTTGTCCCAAAGCTGCAAGTTTACCTGAAAACAGCTCACAGAAGTGTGCTTGTCTTTAGCACTCAGATGCCCAACTCCCAATGGGGTCTAAACCCAAATAAATCCGTTTTACCCTGCATAAAGCTTATGCAGGGCAAACTCATAAATTGTTCGCCCTCTATAACACTGATAGAGAGATATGCACAGTTGTTTGCTCCCACAGGTATTAATACATACTCTGAGTAAATTACTAAATAAAAAGTGCTTTTATTAAATACAGACAGTAGGATTTAAGTGGTTCCAAGTAGTAACAGACAGAACAAAGTAAGTCACCAAGTAAAATAAAATAAAATGTGCAAATCTATGTCTAATCAAACTAAATACAGATAATCTCACCCTCAGAGATGCTTCAGTAAGTTTTTCTCAGACTGGACACCTTCCAGGCCTGGGCACAATTCTTTCCCCTGGTACAACTCTTGTTCCAGCTCAGGTGATAGCTAGGGGATTCTTCATGATGGCTCCTTCCTCCTCTCTGTTCTCTTCCACCCCTTTATATATCTTTTGCATAAGGCGGGAACCCTTTGTCCCTCTGGGTTTTCACCCCCCCTCACTGGAAAAGCACCAGGTTAAAGATGGATTCCAGTTCAGGTGACATGATCACATGTCACCGCAAGACTTCATTACTCACTTGCCAGCACACACATATACAGGAAGACTCACAGAAAAAACACAGCCATCTGCAGACAATGGGAGTCACCAAGATTCCAAACAATCCTTAATGGCCCACACTTTACATAATTACAATAGGCCCTTAGAGTTATATTTTATATTTCTAGTTTTAGATACAAGAGTGGTACATTTATACAAATCGGATGATCACACTCAGTAGATTATAAGCTTTGTAATGATACCTTACAAGAGACCTTTTGCATGAAGCATATCCCAGTTACGTTATATTCACTTTTTACCATATTTTTCTAAAACTATCCCAATTACATTCACTTATTATCATGTTTTCATAAAACCATATAGACTGCACAACGTCACAGTCATAAACAGACAGTTAAGGGTTAATGCCTCTTTTACCTGTAAAGGGTTAAGAAGTTCACCTAGCCTAGCTGACACCTGACCAGAGGAACCAATGGGGGGGGGGGACAAGATTTTTCAAGAGGAAGGATGGAAGTTTTTCCTTTGCTCTCTTCATTAAGTTCTGTGCGGGAGTGACAAGATCCAGGAATCAACCAGGGTAGTGAGTATTAGAGAAGGAATTAATTAGCTTATGTTTATTTCCTTTTGTGACTTCTTTTTGAAATAGAGGGGGAATCAAACTGGGTTTTCTTTTGTGTACTTTAAGTTTTTATGCTCAGAGAGAAATCCTCTGTGTTTTTGAATCTGTTGTCTGTGAGAATAGCTTGCCTGCTAATCTCCCAGAGGTTTTCCTTTCACCTTTCTTTCTTTAATCAAGTCTTCTTTTAAGAACCTGATTGATTTTTCCTTGTTTTAAGATCCAAGGGGGTTGGATCTGGACTCACCAGGAATTGGTGGGGGAAAGGGAAATTAAACTCAAATCCTGCCAGCAAAGGGGGGATGATTAATTTCTCCTTGTTTTAAGATCCAAGGGTTTGGATCGGTGTTCACCAGGAAATTGGTGGAGAAGTCTCTCAAGGTTACCCAGGGAAGGGTTATAGTACCTGGGAGGGAGATATTTTGGGGGGAAGACAGAGTTCCCAAATGACTCAAA